CCACCCCCCAGTGACACCAAATTCATCAAAAGTTTCAGCAAAAACTCAAATACGTCAGCTAAATCAACACTTATCGATGAGGTGATTATAGTGATAATCAAGATTCAGTTTTTGTTGAGCAAAAAGGAGAAGAAAGATTGAATTTTTATCCATATTGAACATTCAAGAAAAATGGCAACTGAGCCACCAAGTATGATTTCTTCCGACCCCACAACTCCACTTCTTCACCGGCGACTCGAAAACGGCGGCAGAGGGGGTCGTCAGTCATCACTTGCTGTACTTCTTGGTCGGGTCACCGGAAGGCGCGGCGGCGGCGGCGGCGGGGGCGCGTCGTTGTTGGTGAGGGAGACGGCGGCGCGTGAGCTGGATGAGCGAAGAGCTGATTGGGGTTATTCGAAGCCGGTGGTGGCGTTGGATATGATGTGGAATTTGGGGTTTGTGATTGTGTCTGTTGTGATTTTGTCATGTGCGGTGGATGAGTCGCCGAATGTTCCCATTAGGGTTTGGATTTGTGGGTATGCTTTGCAGTGTGTGGTGCATGTGGTGCTTGTGTGGTTGGAATATAGAAGGAGGAGTTTGCAAGGAGGAACTGATGCAGAGGGAAATGATGGTGTGGATGGTGAAGAGAGGAATGGGGTTTTGGCTATTGGTAATCAGTCAAGGTAAGGTCCATTTCTTGTTTAATAAATTTCAGATTTTTTCATTTGTGTAGCATGATGTTGGTGGTATTACTAATAGTTACAAATAAAACAACAACGAACTTAGTGTAATTCCACAAGTGGGGTCGGGAGAGTCTGGGGAGGGTAAGATGTATGGAGCCTTACCCCCTATCGGCAATGTGAACGAGCTCACACGTGAGGAGTTAGTTTCACTTCTAATACAATAAACCAATGTTGTCTCACAAGTAGGCTCTAGGGAGTCTAGGGAGTAGGGAGGATACGATGTATGCAGCCTTACCCCTACCTTTATGAGGTAGAGTGATTGTTTTTGATTGACCCTTGGTAACTCCCCTCCTTTATCCAAGCTTGGGACTAGCAATGTGAACGAGCTCACATGGGTGGAGTTAGTTTCACTTCTAATATAGGTCAGTTAAATTACGTTTAAGCTCGTTGCTTGTGAGACGGTACTATGTTTGGAAGGCGTTAAAAGGGACTATATAGACCTAAAATCAGATGAGGGGAGGTTGTGAAAAGAACTAAAATCTCTTGAAATTCATGTGAACTTATGAACATAATGGAAACGAATGGATTGGTAGAAGTGATTTGAAAGAGTTGGTATAAAGGAGATATTGGTATAATGTATAAAACATGAAATGATGAAGGAAGTGATGGATTCTCTATTCTTCTTAAGTGATATTGTTGGGATCAAATGAGTATTGTACTTTCATGGAATGCACGTGCTTGAGGCCTTGTCCGTCAATCTTCTAAGTATCTTTAGCCTCAAAATGGCTAATGGTGACAACCACACTAGCATATGATAAAGTTAGCAAAATGCTCAGCAACTCCTTAAAGTACTTTACAAAATTTTGTAATTGCAAAACTAGATGAGGGCATGTATTTAAATATGCAATACAACTCCATCTCTTGCTTAGGCTCCAATAACATTGAAATCTTCATCTTCTCTTCTGATCACTGATTTGTTCTTCTCCTTCTCTTAAACGAACTATTTGAACTTTTGTTGATGAGTTTACAGAAGAAACCTAATGCCAGTGCTATCTGTAAGAGGCTACTATCTTGGCATTTTCTTCCTCTTTTCCCCGTACGAATATTTTGTAATCCATTTGAAGACTTGCATGTTTACTCTCTCTAATTTTTCTATCGTAGTACTTGAGATGTACTCGATAAGTTTGCTTTGTATGTAGTATTTATGTACATAAAAACAAGTACTAAATGTGAACCAAAGGAAAAGTTTTGATTGATCAAATGAAGTATGGTAATTGATTGTGTTTTAGAAGCTGAAATCTTGATAATTGCTATATACTTTTTTTCGAGACAAGGGTAACTTTGTATTCACACCAAAAAATTCATCATCCCAAAAAATGATGAATTGGAAACTTACATCCCACCCATGGGTATACTTTACAAGTTTCCTTTAAAATCAACTAAATCTACTATATCCCCTACAAGATTCTATTTACACCAAAAAAACAAAAGGCTTATACAATTCATTCTAATCTTCTGTAAGTTAGACTTTTGTCCCTCAAAGCTTCTTAAATTTCTTTCTTTCCAGAGGGTCCACCATATGCAAGCAGGGATAGTTCTCCACCAATGTTCATTTCTTCCTCTGTTCCCAATACCTTTCCAGCTATTTAGTAGTTCCTTTGTTGTGCTAGGCATCACCCATTTAACTCCCAACAGATCCAAAAACATGTTCCATAGGCTCAGCGCTGCCTTACAGTGAAGGAACAAATGGTCATTGACTTCTGTTTCCTGTTCACACATGACACATCTTGAACAAAATTGCCATCCCCTTTTCTGTAAAGCTTCATGTGTTAGACAAGCCTTTCTACAAACCAACCAACAAAAACAAGCTACCTTTGGGGGGCATTTGGTCTTCCAGATTAACTTCCAAGGCCAAATGTCTACCATTGACTGCCTTGTGTTAAGATTCCAGTAACATGATTTCACTGTGAACACACCCTTGTTATGTAATTTCCATCTAGGTTTGTCAGGCCTCAGAGATAAAGCAGGGTGTGAGTTTAGTACTCCCAATAGGTTAGCAACTTCCCCAATTTCCCAGTCATTTAGTGCTCTTCTAAAAACAAGGTCCCATCCCTGCTGACTCCAAGCTTGGGATACAGAGACATTCCTTTGCGTGCTCAAAGTGTAAAGATGTGAAAATGAGTTTCTAAGACTGTCTTCTCCAATCCACACCTCATTCCAGAAATCAGTTTTCAAACCATTTCCAACAGTGATTGACATGTTGTTGTTGAAATGAGGCCATAATCTTCTTATGGTTTTCCAGACACTACATCCAAAGGTTCCCGCAACCTCCTCAGTTGTCCAGTGATTGAGTAAACCATACTTTCCGGCTATGAATCTTCTCCAAATGGCCCTCTCTTCTGAGGAGAACCTCCAAAGCCATTTCTGCAAGAGAGAGGTGTTTTGTTTGCTGAGGTTCTTCAGGTTGAGCCCCCCTTGTTGAGTGTTGAGAGTCAGTTCATCCCATTTCACAAGGTTATAACCTCTCTTCTCCTTGTTTCCTTGCCATAGAAAGGCTCTCCTAACTCTATTGAGTTTTTTTTCAATGCTCTTTGGTATGGGAAAAAGGCTCATCATGTATGTAGGCATGCCATCAAGAACTGACTTGGTGAGAGTCAATCTGCCCCCTAAAGAGAGATATTGACTTTTCCACCTAGATAGTTTATTCTCGCACCTTTCCAACACCCCACTCCACACCTCTAATTCTTTGTTTTTAGCACCTAGTGGCAGTCCCAAATATTTAGTTGGTAAAGATTCCACTTGGCAGCCCAGAATAACAGCCAGATCTTGCAAATTCCAAACCTGGTTGATAGGAGAAATGTGACTTTTCAGCCAATTTACATGGAGACCTGAGATACCTTCAAAAATTGTTAGGATGGCTCTCAAATGCCTGATCTGACTTGTCTCTGCTTCACAAAAGATAGGTCATGCTTTTTGCTTCTTAGACGGCTCATCTAAATAAGATATAAAGATACTATGGTTGTACTCATTTTTTGAGGAAGGTAACATTTGTATTACTATTTAACAAGAAAACTTAACTTTCTTAGGCTGTTCTTGAAAAGGAGTTTCTAAGACTGTCTTCTCCAATCCACACCTCATTCCAGAAATCAGTTTTCAAACCATTTCCAACAGTGATTGACATGTTGTTGTTGAAATGAGGCCATAATCTTCTTATGGTTTTCCAGACACTACATCCAAAGGTTCCCGCAACCTCCTCAGTTGTCCAGTGATTGAGTAAACCATACTTTCCGGCTATGAATCTTCTCCAAATGGCCCTCTCTTCTGAGGAGAACCTCCAAAGCCATTTCTGCAAGAGAGAGGTGTTTTGTTTGCTGAGGTTCTTCAGGTTGAGCCCCCCTTGTTGAGTGTTGAGAGTCAGTTCATCCCATTTCACAAGGTTATAACCTCTCTCTTCTCCTTGTTTCCTTGCCATAGAAAGGCTCTCCTAACTCTATTGAGTTTTTTTTCAATGCTCTTTGGTATGGGAAAAAGGCTCATCATGTATGTAGGCATGCCATCAAGAACTGACTTGGTGAGAGTCAATCTGCCCCCTAAAGAGAGATATTGACTTTTCCACCTAGATAGTTTATTCTCGCACCTTTCCAACACCCCACTCCACACCTCTAATTCTTTGTTTTTAGCACCTAGTGGCAGTCCCAAATATTTAGTTGGTAAAGATTCCACTTGGCAGCCCAATTGCTATATACTTCAAAGACAGGAACAAGTTTGCTTAACAGAATGGCCAGACGGAATATTTTAAAGCTAAATGTTTCACATTGATTCAAAGGCAATTAACGTCCATAAGACTTTGTATGAGAGGGACTTATGGTTAGATTGTGAGAGGGCATTGATTAGTGATTTCCTAGGCTGCCTGCCGTAGTGTTCTTGTAGGCCTCACCAACTGCTATCTATTGAAACACATGCACACTTTTTATAGTCAACCTAGTAAATGGAACTTAATGAGATAATATCTACTAGATTTCATGGATTTTGTTTGATTCATATAGTCATTGAAAGATCCGTATATCAGAGAAGGATAATATCTTCCAAGAAAAGGAGCAACAGAGAGCCCAAACTTATGGGAAAAATTTATAGATTTCTTTTATAGGTTAAGGAGATGAAAAATTTACTGAGAATAATGTATCTTTGCTCTGTTATTGGTGAGAGTTAACGGTAGTATCATATCAGTGATTCTTACCTTTTGGATTAAGTTAATCTAAGTAAAAGTAGTTTCTGCAGGTCTTCATTTCATTCCATGCTGCAAAGCAATTGTTTGTATCTTCTGCTTATGACCTTTTGATATTCAATGAATAAGATACACACACCTACATATAAACTGTAGAGCATATACGAATACGATATGTATGTATGTATGCATGTATAAGAAGCTTTTATGTATTTCATTTGACAGACAATTTATATAACCCGCCATCAGTCTCGCATCTTAGAAATGTGTTTGTTAGTTTGGGGGTTGGGGGAGGGGGGACTGCCAAAGAAGCAGATGAAACTTTAAGTGACCTTTTTGTGCTAAGTAAATTTTAAATTTTCTTTCTCATTAAAAAGACATGTGACAGTTGAGTACAAATCAGGGCTTGACACTTTAAAGATATACTATTTTCTGGAATTCAATCAATATAACATTGTTTCAGACGCTTATTCTAAGAAGAAACTGTTACTCAATTTGATTAGTTGTAGGTTTTTGTACTGGTAGAGGTATATGAAATTGATTCTTAAAATATGCTTACAAAGTTAATCTGATTGCTCAAATTGTCACATCTTTGTTGACTACAAAGCCCTTTTTTTTGGATAACCTTGGTGTCCGGGCCAGCTTGTCCACACCTCGACTAATTCCACGGGATACATGCCACCTCTCAGGTAACTCTATCCACCAAGGCTAGGACAAATGTGAAGAAATCACCTAGTGTTTTTGTCTCTATTGGGATTTGAACCTGAGATCTCATGGTTTTCAACCTATTGCATTGACCACTAGGCCACACTTCTTGGAACTAGAAAGTACAACACAAATTATTGCTGTTTCAGAAGTATAATGTTATCTTCATTCTAGAATGTTCCGAATACAAAACGAATGAGGTTTAATAAGGGAAGTTCTATGACATCTTATTGTGAAATCTTTCCATGAATCTTACTTTTAAAGGCATTCAAACTATTCTTTTGCAGATAGTCCAACGTATACTCATTGGTGTATCCAAATTCAATTTTATTGATCTGTGTGCATGAGATATGATATACACCTGATCCACCTATTCATAACTTATGCTTTACAGCTAACACAACCTTGTAGGTTTCTGACCCATCTTTTACAGTATGATTGATGATGATCTGCTATACGCCTATACCTAGTAGTATATTATTACTGAGTTACAATTGATATTTATTACTCTGCAAGATGAAACTACTGCTTAAAGAAGCATGGAAATTATATGTCATTCAACTTGGCTACGTTATTAGCACCTTTTAATTCTCTGGATAAACAAATAGATACATGTATTCTCATTATTTGACCGACAGTTTTAAATGTCTTTTGAGCATCGAAAAAATATGTATTCTTTTTTCTTGGTTAATGCTTGCTGCTATAGAGGTAGCAAATTTAATTTATTGACTCCTTTCCATTTTGGACATTGCAGTATTGCTAAACGATGTGAATATATGAATACAATGGGGTCACTTCTTTGGTGGATAGTTGGCTTTTACTGGATAGTCTCTGGTGGTGAAATTCTTTTACAGAATGCTCCACATTTATACTGGTGTGTCAAGATCTACTATCACTTCAAGCCTTTATTTCTAGGGAGGAATCATAAATGTGGAAAAACTTTTTAAAGTTGAATTAGTTTTGCATTATAAAACTTTTATGTTTTGTTGATGGTCCTCTATGAGAGTTGTACTTTGTTATCTCTACTATTTTCAAGTTGTGATCGCAAAAATGGCAATCCCCTTTAGGAATTCTCCCCTATATTTGTAGGCGTAGTCATTTTGGGACAGCTCAAAAATGTAAAATAGGTCATAGCAATGACGGCATAACCTGTTACATATAGGCTCTAATTGTGTTTTTCTTAATTTCAATTCCTTTACACATACTAGTAGTACTTGTACAGCTCAAATTAATTCCGTTAAGCATACTAGTAATACTTGTACAGCTCAAATCAATTCCATTAAACATACTAGTAGTACTTGCATAGCTCAAATAGACAGCGGTTTCAAATCTTTGTGATATATTTGTCTAAATGCAACTCTGATCTTTTCACGTTTAAGGAATTGGTAGTTGTGGAAAAGATGTTACTGTATCAGTTCATGAATTGGCCTTTTTCATAATTGTTGTTAATAACAATATAAAAGGACCAGAGACTGAAAAGTCGAATTCTTTTTTTTATCTAGTTATCTAGAGTTTTTAGATGTGCCCTAAAAGATTTAATTGCTACATCTGTTTGGTTCAGCTGCCTGATTCATGTTTAGGTCGCGGTCTACCTGAATTCTGCTTAGATCTACCATCTCACTACAGCATATAAGTTGTCATCTCAAGAGAAGTCGTGGATGATTATTATCTTCTCTCTCTCTCTCTAAAATGTATCTGCTTGATGAATTGTTTTTGTTGTTTCCTTTTTCTTTTTAAAATGTTTGTGATCATCAGACAGTCATGTTTGATCACTGATGTAAAGTGATGCAGGTTGGCAGTTGTATTTCTGGCATTCGATGTATTCTTTGCCATCTTTTGTGTTGCTTTGGCATGTCTGATAGGAGTTGCTCTCTGTTGCTGCTTGCCTTGCATAATTGCAGTACTCTATGCAGTGGGTCAGGTAAGAGACAGAAACTATAAATAATTATAGGCCACTACTTGATATGTTTCTGGAATGATCTTTTACCTGTAATATATAGGAAGGTGCATCCGAGGAAGATCTCAGAGTTCTCCCCAAGTATAGATTCCATATTTGCAAGAATGAGGAGAAACCAAGGGTAGGAGCTGGTAGGATGGTACCAATTGAGACAAGCAGCGGATACCTGGCCACTGAGCGTATTCTTTTACCTGAAGATGCAGTAAGTTAATCTTTGCGTGTCTAAAAAATGCTTAAAGCCAATTATCATTTTCTTTGAGACAAGCAGCGGATACCTGGCCACTGAGCGTATTCTTTTACCTGAAGATGCAGTAAGTTAATCTTTGCGTGTCTAAAAAATGCTTAAAGCCAATTATCATTTTCTTTGAGACAAGCAGCGGATACCTGGCCACTGAGCGTATTCTTTTACCTGAAGATGCAGTAAGTTAATCTTTGCGTGTCTAAAAAATGCTTAAAGCCAATTATCATTTTCTTTGAGACAAGCAGCGGATACCTGGCCACTGAGCGTATTCTTTTACCTGAAGATGCAGTAAGTTAATCTTTGCGTGTCTAAAAAATGCTTAAAGCCAATTATCATTTTCTTTGAGACAAGCAGCGGATACCTGGCCACTGAGCGTATTCTTTTACCTGAAGATGCAGTAAGTTAATCTTTGCGTGTCTAAAAAATGCTTAAAGCCAATTATCATTTTCTTGAGACAAGCAGCGGATACCTGGCCACTGACGCGTATTCTTTTACCTGAAGATGCAGTAAGTTAATCTTTGCGTGTCTAAAAAATGCTTAAAGCCAATTATCATTTTCTTGAGACAAGCAGCGGATACCTGGCCACTGACGCGTATTCTTTTACCTGAAGATGCAGTAAGTTAATCTTTGTGTGTCTAGAAAATGCTTAAAGCCAATTATCATTTTCTTTCTCCTTTATTTTGATCCCACTAGTCTATCTATATTGGAATAGAGCTGTTTCATCGTATGCATATTCCACAACCTTACTTTGGTGTTAACATTTAGCTCTACGGTTACTGCAATGGTGCTAAGTGAACTTCATTTATTCACTGTTTCAGTTAGAATACGCATTATGTGACACATGCTGAATAGTGATAGACTTGGTGGTATTTCTGAATTATTATTTGTGATAAAATAGTTACCAATATCTCAACTTTTGTTTGCTAGGAATGTTGTATATGTCTTACCTCGTACGAGGATGGGGCAGAACTCCATGCTCTCCCCTGTAATCATCATTTCCACTCCACCTGCATCGTGAAATGGCTTAAGATGAACGCGACATGTCCACTATGCAAGTACAACATCCTGAAGGGGAATGATCAGGTTTAAAGCAGAGGAGAATGAAAAACATTGTACATTGTTTCGGGTTATTAAAGCCACTTATGGAAGCTTGAAACACTACTCGCTGTATCCATATCAGAACAGAAATCTGCTTTCCAACTAGTTGAGCTTCCTCTCATGTTCGCTTAGCATATTGAGATCTTCTCTGTAGTGAATTGTCTTCTGTTATAGAAAAAATGTAGCACCCCGCGAAAAATTAAAAACGAAGAAGGGTTTGTCCTTCCCCCAGCTCATGTAAATTATCCTTGGTTCCCATTGCTTTCCAATAGGTATACAGGATCCAACTCTTGTAAGTATATGCTATTTTCTTGTGTGTTGTTTTATGTCCAGTTTTTCTTGTGCTCCTTGTTTCTTTTTTCAGATGAACCTTTCTCTATGAAAACAGTAAAGTGGGTGATAGTTCTATATCTAAGTTTTACTCCATTTGTCCATTATGAACTTTGCTATTTTGTTGTCGTTATTTTTAAAATGTGACACCGTTTACAAAAGAAATTGTGTTGGTGCTATTCAAACATTTTTTTTTTAACCCGAGAGGAGCTCCCACCCCTTTTGCTCTCTTGGTGACTCGAGCTCGCAACTTTCAGGTTGGAAGTGAGGGGTGCTTACCATCCGAACAACTCTCTCGTCGTTGGTGCTATTCAAACAACCCCAATAAGTCACCATAATTTCTTGAATTCTGCATGCTTTGAGTTGCTTCACCTAAGTCTACACCAAGCCAGCCACCTAAATCATGGTTTTAATGTAAATAGCGAATATAAATAATTTTTTACCCTATAAAATACAACTTGTTATGAAACTTAAGAACAAAAGAACAATATAATAAGGAAGACAAGAAGAATATCACACAAGAGAAACAATATATGATTACTTTCTTTCTTTCAAGTGTACTCAACATTATTCTCAACACCACTATTTATAGGATTACATTGAGGAATACCAAAGGGTGTCATAAACATTACATTAAACCTTGAGAATTACTACCCATTAAGGAGGAAATAAACCTAGGAGTTATGGTCATCCAATTAACTATATTATCAACAACATTACTACCAATAAAGGATGAAATTAACCTAGGAGTTATGGTCATCCATTTGACCACATTATCAACAACATTACTACTCATAAAGGAGGGAAATTAACCAAGGAGTTATGGTCATCCATTTAACCACCAAAATGATTTACAACACTCCCCCTTGGATGACCATTGATAGATAATATGCCTCGTTAAAACCTTACTAAGAAAA